CTTTCCCTGTAAAAATACAGTTTTCTGATACTTTAATGAAAAAAAATATTCTGAAGGCCTGGCCCTGCTAGAGCATACAGCACCCTTTTTGAGGCAGTGGGTTTTGTCTGTTGGTACGAGGAGTGCGTTGAATAGTTGTGGTCTTCGCTGAGGGGGCTAAGTATATTGAAGCTTAATCATTCTCAGTACCATAGGAGAGGAAAACAAAATATAAATAAATAGAGCTGATGACTGTGCTCTCCAAAATGGCTTGGACATTTTCTTAAGGATTGTAGATTTGTTTTCTTCACTTGGTGGTGGAACTGGTCAGCATTTATTGTTAGCTGTGTAAGAATACAGCTACGATCATTGCATCTCTTGGTATCAAACAGTGGACCATAAAGGTTGAAATTACAAACCCATTCAAAAATATGTCTCTGTTTCCAAAGCTCACAGGGAGAGTCTCAGTCAAAAACAGAGGGTGCAGTGAAGACAGTTATCAAAGTCCAACTACAGCAAAATAGACTTGGTAACGGCTGAGCTTGGACTCATTGAGAAAATGGCTATTAATCTGTCAGATCAGCTGAGAAAGGAGTGCAAGACAGGGAATCTGGTTTATCACATCCTTTTTTCTATTCTGCAACATTTTCTCTGTGTGTAGAAAGTAGTTAAGTATTGTATTTATTCCCACGTTTCTTTATCTTCATCGGGGTTGTTGTATTTCTTCCAGTGTTTGTTTTGAGGAATTTGAAAGCTTCCTGCAGTATCTAACCCTGGATTGTCATTTAGAGATGCAGGATGCATGCTGGATGCTCTCACAGTTATAGATGCAGGAATGTACAACATATATGCTACATGAAAGACCTCACATGCAAGGCTAGAACAGAAATATCCTTCCTAGGGTTTCTTAAAAAAAGTGTATTTTTCAGGTTTTGTTTTTACTCTCCTCTGAACATTACTCCAGCAGCAAGGAGTCTGCTCTAGCTCAAAGCCTTTGTGCGTTTGCAACTATTTTATACTCATTTCTTCCCAAACAACATGAGTATTGCCCTTCAGCTAAGAAGCTTTTCTTCCTCTTGAATCCATCATGTCTTTTCTGAATCACATAAAGCATCCTTGTGTGACAGGACCATCAGTGCTCCACTAGCACTCTTCATCCATTCCAGCCTGAGTTTGCTTAGGCTCTGTGTTTGAGGAAGATTAAGGCCACGCGTGATGTCACTAATACCTCCTTAGCATATTGGACAGAACTCCTGATACTCCCCTAAACCACATCTGCCTTTCACATGACTGCATCATGCTGTGTGCCGTGGGTGCCCTGTGATTTACCAGTACAACTAGCTCTTTTTGCTCCCTTGCCATTGCCAGCTGCTGAGTTAACAGCTGACCATGCTTTCCTTTCAAGCATTTTTTTTTTCTTACAAATTTGTTTTGTACTGCAGTACTCATCCTGCTTCTGTTATTCCAAGCCTGAAGTTTCTTGACTTCTTTATAATACCTGTAAAATAATTTTTCTGTTTATGAGTATAGTTTATACAGCAGTATAGGTTTTTTTTGTAGGCTCCCCTTCTAATATCCTCTGAGGAAGACATCTTTTCTCTTTTAGTGAGTGCATCTTTCCTTAAAAATGTTTTCTGACATTGAAGTGGTCCTAGGCTGTGATTTAACATACTTATAACTAAATTGCTCAAGCAGATGTTTAAAAACATTTGAAAATAAAAATGTTCAAAACTTGTTTCCTTGAGGAGCTATTGTTAGTTGTAATATGAACCAAAGGTCTTTGTCAAGTACTGTTTTTAACAGAGGAACCAAAACATGTATATTAGTTAAAAAGATTAAATGTTTTCTTTGTTCACTACTAGTAAAGTTAATTTAAATACCATATGCTTGATTTTGCTCATGTAATTTCTAAAGCCTGAATTGCAGAAAGAAATACAGTTCTTCACTCCCTACTACCTCTGAAAGTCATTTTCAAGAGAGACCAGTTGTTTGTCCTCATGTGTAAATTATAGTAAGGGCCAGTTGAACAAAATTTTATACATCCAAAGCCACTGTTTAATTTTGCACCATGCTGACATTCAATTTCCTTATTGTGTATCTAAACCAAGTATTTTCTATACAAAAATACTGTCTTGTGTGAGATTTAAGGCAGATACTGCTTTTCCAGGACATCTGTTCTGCTTTTTTCTTTCCCTCCTGTGCTATCACCCTGCAAAATCTTCTGCCTTTGGAATTTGCTGTAGGATTCCTCTAGGTATTACCACAGTTATGCTCCTCATCTACTAATCCTCCCTTGGGCTGCACTGGCTTTTGACAAATGAATGTTCTTTTTACTGTTTCAGAAGAACAGTGTTTTCAAAAGAAGAGTCTTCTCAGACTAATCCATTTTCTATCATGCAGCATGTTTTTATCTGCTTGCCTGTTTTTACTGCAAGTTCCTTGAGTGAGGACTAGATGCTTGGCTTTAGAGACTGTCATAGACATTATTACCAATATGAGAAGAAGAGCTGGAGAGAAAGGGGAAGTCACTGCCATTTCTGACCATTGTTTCTTATGTGTGGTTTTGAGCAAGTAAATTCAGAGCTTTTTATTTTTGTTTCTTTGCCTCTTCTGTCACCTCTCTTGTCTGTTCAGAAAGCTTAACAGTACAGGACACTTGCCTTTGGGGTGTGGGTTTACAGTAGGGTTGGCCTGAAGTCAGTGATGCTGTTAGAAGCAAACATACAGCATATACTGAAAAAGAAAATTTCTGTGATAGGCATTTGTTATGCTACGAGCTGTGCAGTCACCACCTGCTCAATTTGACCTGCTTTGTAGAATAATCCTTGTTCCTGTTTAGGCTAAGCCAAATTTTAACCCTTCACCTGGGAATCTGTAGATTGAAATCCAGACTTTCCCAGTAGGATAAAAGTATTTTCTTTGACCTTCATAGACAAAATATTTTCTGTAGCATCATCCAATCCCAATATTTGTATTTAGAAGGTAGGAGGACTGGTCGTGACATGGATTTAAGTTAAACTTCCTAACCTATGCATGTATAAAGACGTTTCTCCTTAGGGATGTTATTTCAGTGCATATTTTGGTATCTCAGAAATGGAGTAAAAAACTACTCTATGCTGCTTGGTTTCTTTTGGTTTGCTTGTTGAGTTATGCCTCCTCTTTTTCGTTCTTTTCTTCCTCAAACTGTCTTCCTCCAGTATTCCTATATATGCAAATCTACATATCACCACTGTGCTGCCTTTCTAGCATCCACCTTCACCCTACCCCCCTGCTCTGCCGAGATCTCTGGAAACTTTGACGTTGTCACGTAGGCCCCTGTGTCTCCAGATCCCAGCTTGTGCCGAGCGCTTCTGCTGCCTGTGTCATGCCTTGAAAAAGTACAACCTTGCTGATTTTCTAACACCACGCAAGCTATTTCAGGACCAACTACGTTTGCTCTTTTGGTTCTCATGACAATTTGTTTTCCTGAGACAGATTTCATTCCATGCCTCCTACAGGGTTTGCAGCCCTTCAACCCTTTCACTTCCTGGTATGAAAGCTGTCCCGTGTGCCTCCTGCTCTCTGCTGCAGCAACCCTTTGGTGCTGGTTTGTCAGCCCTGTCTCTGCAGTATCTCTTGTATCTACCTCTTAGGTCCTCTTACCTTCTACCTGCTGAATTATTTAACTTAGAAATTATGTTAACCCTTTGTGTGATTGATTAACAAATGTAGCTTTGTGAAATGTTTTGGGATATAAGCTTGAACGTAAGTTTCTGTACAAACAAAAAGTGTTGCAAATAACCTGAAAAAGGCTAAATTGGCCCAAGAGGATTCCCAGAGAAGCTCAGCTGATGTGGCTTAGATTCTACCTGTAAAAGCAGAAACAGCTGCAGTGTTCTACAGACCCTGGGATGAAGAGAGTGGATTTTAACAGCTTGCTTAAGTGAAGATACAAAGAAGAACAGAGGGGTGATTGAAAAGCACTTGTTCTAGTTCATAAGTATTGTCTGTAGAGTTAAATGGCTGGTTTCTCTTGAACAGCTTTTCAGTTGCAGTTACACAATATTGCAGGCTCTTGAAGTGGAGTTCATATGAAAATACCAAATAAAGCTTTAATTTGACCAGTCTGTATTCCTGTTGTTCATCTATTCAAGGGGTTTCAGACAACCTGAAATTTATGGGTGCATGTTCTGTGAAAAATGGGGTCTGTGACATATATAAATCAAAACAGGTATGTAAATATGGAAATGCTTCTTAAAATAAATGCTCGTATTTTGTGGTCACCAGAATAGTGCCCAGAGTAGAGCATTAAAGCAATACTGGAATTTGTTTTATTCTGTGCATCAGTTACTAGTAACAAATGAACCAGGTTAAAATGGTGAAGTAAAATTCTTAAGACAGTTCAGGTAAAGTTTGTTGTAGTTAATATTTAGTAACATTGAGGATATAGCTGAGTATACAAACTTTCTGATGGTAACAGATGGTGATTCAGTAGCCTTCATATTTGCTGGTCTTAAGAACGATGAGTAATGTCCTGAGAATGAGAGATATGCACTTTTTTAAAAGGTGGGGAATACGTGTAAATTATTTAATAACATTTACTGAAAAAAAAAAAGTATCTTTCTGTCAACATGATCTTCTGGCAACTTTTTTCTACAGAAAATGAAAAAATATTCAGCTATATTAAGTAGCTAGAAAAATTAAGTTATGATCCAGGCAAACAGTTCTGCCAGACTAGGAAATAAGTTTCCTTATTTGCTCACAGCATTTGGTTGTTTTTTTTCTTTTAGCTAAATGAGAACAAGCAGTTTTCAGATTCAAGTGAATACATTCCTTTGTAGTTCCAGGATTTCCAAGACATTCCCTTGTGTATTCTGTTGATGATGAAATGGAAGTAATCAAGGTAAGGTATTAGGGCTGCACTTCTTAGGCAGTGGATAAGTATCCATCTTCACACTCTCTTAACAAGAGCTACATCCAGGCTAAGCTTTTGTCTAGCTTCCTTTACTGGGTGAGAAGCTACAGCTCGAGGCTTCAGCAGAGAAATGAATGTCAGTCAACAGGAGGTGAGGGGAGATGAAGTTGGTGCCTTGCACCAGCTGCAACATCACATCAAGTGTAAGGTCTCAGTTACGCACATGGATGATGGTGAGGGGAAGCCAGGCAGATCCGTGGTGTTAAGTTCTGCTTGTTGTAGCACTGTTTGACAAGCAAGTAGCTGCAAGGGGAGGCTGTTCCTGCGAGATGAATCTGTTCTTGCTCTGCTCTCCCACAAATACTTGTGCTGTTCTAAGGGGCTTTGCTACCTTCCAAAGAGCTGCTTCCCTTTTCCCCCTTGGGCTTTGTTACCATAATTTTTCCTGCTAGTGGTTTCACTGCTGAAATCCGGGGTGCTTGTGGGACCTGAAAAGCTCATCTTCCAAGTACTCCATCCTGAAAATACCTCAGAGATGGTGTTGCTATACCCCACATCCCTCCCTCGAGGACAAGCACACAGCCAAACCCCATCACAGTCTGTCAGCTCTTAACCTCCCACAGAAGGACTGTGGTAGAAGAATGTAAAATAAAATATGGTTCCAAATAATATCTTGTCAGTTAGGAGAAAGCAGCTTTAAATAATGCTTTGTCAATGAGGAGAAGCAAGTATTTCTGCTTTAGTAGAAGTGTTGCAGGCAATGGCCTCCAGGTGAAAGGGGGTCTGCTCTGTGTCAGATTCTCTGTGATAAGTGAGCATAGCTGTATCTTGCTTTCATATACAGGTATGAGCAACTGCAGGATAAGCTTAGTAAGGCAAAGATCCTTCAGAATGTGCTGGACCGGGCTGGGAGAAGGGATTTAGCTGTTAAATTTCAATGCCTGTGCTGGGGACATCTAAAATCAAGGGGAACTGCCTTCTGCTTTCCTCTTTCTCATGACTCTACACAGAACTCTCAACAACAAAGAAGGGCTACAGAAAACTCAGTAACTTCACTAACAATACCCGTAAGGTTCTGCAGTCACCACACAACCATCCCGCTTCCAGTACTAGAAGTGAGGCTCATTTTTTAAAAGTGTTGAAACTGTTTTTCATAGTAAAGAACTTCAGAGGCATTAACTAAGCCTAGAAGTACAATCTGATTATTTAAAAGGCATACTTTGTAAGAAGTTTCTAAGATTGTTCGAGATAATGTAATTAAGAAAATAAATTGGTTTGCATCACAAAAGTGAGCAGGGTAATTGGATAAGCACATTAACTGGATACTTCCCTGTTACAGCTGATTGTATTAGTTACTGCCAGTCTGTCAGGACTGCACAAGTATAAGCCGAGATGCAGATTTTCCTGGAGGTCTCTTTTTTCTGAACTCCTTATTTAAAGCAGTCAGAGTTCAAGTGTGCCAATGACTCTTAAGTCACATGGTAATGTTTCCTGGTTGACTTACAGAGCTATATATTTAAAAAATTAAAAAGGCAAACCAAAACTAAAAGCTTTTATAATTGAGCTGTTGGAAGCAAGTAAAAAATTGTCAGACAACCCAAAAATAACTCCGGAACTGAGAAACTGAGTATGGTTTTCCTGCTTTCTTCCTCAGTTCTGTCCTTCTTAATATAGCTGAATAATTTAGATCCCAACAATGAACTGTGGAGGGGCTTTTCACCAGAGAGGACAAGGAGTAATATTTTAAACTGAAAGAGGGGAAGATTTAGGTTAGAGACCAGGAAGAAATTCTTTACCTAGTAAGGCACCAGAATAGGCTGCCCAGGGAGGCTGTGGAAGCCCCTTCCTTCCCTGGTGGTGTTTAAGACCAGGTTGGATGAGGCTTGTGCAGCCTGCTGTAGTGTGAGGTGTCCCTGCTCATGGCAGGGAGGTTTAAACCTGATGATCTTTAAGGTCCCTTTCAACCTTAACCATTCTATGATCCCAAGAACTGATTCTTCACATGCAAACCATCACGCAGAGCAGCTTTATAGCACAACCTGGGAAGAGCAGGATAAAAAGAGAACAAACACCACGATCCGATCCAGCAAACCAACCCAGTTCAGGGGAGCACTTGCAGATTTTTCTGTGACATGAAACATGAGTGCTCCAGAATTACTGCGTGTTGCTATCGGCTGCCTACGCACACACGCCTGTCAGCACACTGCACAACACGTGCTTTGGTGAAAACATCAGTGCAAGTCCAATAAGCCAAGTGTGCAGTATAGGTATCTGGATTGCCCTCAGAGACAGGGATTGCCCTCAGACAATCCCAAAGACATCAAGACAGAAATGGAATTCCAGAGCTTCCCGATTTACTAAAATGCATCTACACCGTGAACCTGTTTTCTCCGCCAAGGAGGGAGCTGCCTGTTATCACTGCTGAACTCCTTCCAGAATCCCACCAACTTAATTTAAAACTAGAACATGTGCTTTTACACTCCACCACCACATGTGGTCCAGACTGTCCCTAAACTGGAAGAATGGCTGCAAAAAGCTGACACGCTTCTCTCTGCCCCTCTGCCTGAGATCACTCCCTTTGCCTTTGTTATATTCACTCTAAGAAAAACAAAGCATCATACACAGACTTGTTTTTAAGGGACTAAATTTAGGAAGATCACCCAATCAATGGATAAAATTAAGAAGTATTCATGAGGTCAGATTCTAAACTATGTTTGGGGAGCTTAGGTCCTTTCACATGGAGAGGAACATGTCCCACCCCCAAAACAAAACTTGCACAATGTATGACTTCTTTCTTCTCCATCACCATGATTCTGTATCTTCCAAGCTGCAATATGGCAAAGAGAAGGACCAGTTTAACAAAGCCATGGGGCCAGGACAAGAGGTATGTGCCCACAGTATTCCAAGCTTGGTCTTTCATGCTAGGGCTGCTGTAACAAATTCAACTCATTTGCACCGAAATATAAAAAAAAAAGGAGTAGCATAACACACTGAAAAACAGAGACATAGATTTTAATCTATCATCTAACAAATGCATCTGTTTCATTTTGCTACTAAACACAACATTTCTACTTTTCACTCTGCACAGTGTTTTCAGCTGCCTCCTCCTTCCAAAGTCTGCAAATTTCCTAGATATTCGGTGACAGCCTCTATCTCTGCAAACTCCAGCAGTCTGTTGATCAAGTTATCCAGTGCTTCTTTCCCACTTAGAATTTCCTAAGAAAAAAAAAACAAAAAACAACAAAAGCATTACTGACTGTCCATCAGAATTCTTCTGAAACACTGACTACTCAAACGAGGAACTCCTGGAATGAACTTTGCCTGCAGTCTTATCTCAGAGCATCCACTCCCTTGTCTCTGCAGCTCCTGGTGTGAAAGCAGCACAGCACGGTGCTGCCTGCCTGGGAAAAGCAAATTGATTCTGGCAGCAGCAGCAGGAGCTACTGGTGCCTTCCTGCCATGCTTTCATGTAACCCATGCGTTTCACTGAAAATCCTCTAACAAGAACAATCAAGGATTGAAGGATCTAATTTAAATACTGCTGTAGATGCCAAGAACTGGTTTGTTTTGCAAGCAAACCTTAACTGACTTTTGTTAGGCAGTTCACGGTTCCAGCTTCACTAAAGGAAAGTAACAAGTGCCCAACCTTAAGTAACTGAAAATCTGTACTAAGAAATGTTATTTTTATACAGTCAGGGAACTGTTTCCCATTCTGCTCCATCATGGTATTTGTGGACCTATTCCCCACTCCATTAAATATGTACCATTCTGTATTCAGCATGCACTGTGTTCTCTGAGGTTACCTAGGACATCTGTGGATACAGCTCAAAAAGTGTTGCTTCTCATGCAATAGCACCTGAAGTAAACTGGATACCTAAGCCAAAATTTTGACAGGTCACCCTAATTTTTTTCCTCAAAATAAAAACATTTTCCATACATTTAATAGATAAAAAATCCATTTCCCTGTAAAACAAACAAACAAACAAAAAACCCAAACAATAAATAACTAAGATTCAAGCCATATGTAGACATTCACTCAGAAATAAAATATCAGGTCATCTTAACATGAAAGCATTCATATTCAGCTTTTTTTTTTAACTGTTATATGCAAGGAAAACATAAAGAAAAGTTTTTTCACTTTTTTCACTTTCTTGCCCCCTCCCTGGAAGTGTTCAAGGCCAGGTTGGATGAGGCTTGTGCAGCCTGGTCTAGTGGGAGGTATCCCTGCTGGTAGCAGGGAGGCTGGAACCTGATGATCTTTAAGGTGCCTTCCAATCTTTACCATTCTATGATTCTATGATTCACTCTAGCATTAAAGGGTGGAGGAAAGACTTAGGTTAACTTAAAAAAAAAAAAAGGCCTTGTCAGGTTTTTCTTTTGTCTGTACTGTGCTTCAAGAATCTCAAATTTCACTTGCCCAGTTTGGCCAAGGGACTCATGGAGTTCACTAATGGGAACTAAATGCTTCCTCATTTTTCACTCTTACAGCAGGAGAAAAAGAGAGAAGTGGGTCAGCAAGTTGTATTATCTTGTGCCAGTCACCTTTAACACTGCTTCACAACAAGACAGAAAAGAAAGTTTCAGCACTCTATGACATTCTGTCAGAGCACAACTGGCTATCTCATTTTTTCATATATATTAAATTGTTTACACTAAGTTGATTTTTTCATCTTAGGTAACCATCTAACTTCAAAGACTCTGGTGAGCAACCATTACCTTGATATTGCGAGCATCATATGAGATCCTGTGGTCAGTGACTCTGTCCTGAGTGAAGTTGTAAGTTCGGATTCTCTCTGACTGGGCTCTTGTTCCCAACTGCAGTAAAGTACCAAAAAACAAAATTCTATTAATAAAATAATAAATCAAATATTACTCTGAAACAGCATACCCAGAATAAACTTTAAATGGACCAGCGTGTTTCACCCACACACCTAGTAGTCACTTCCTTAGTACATACTGTTTTTATAAATACTGTAGCATTACTAAACTGCATTATTTCTGATTGTGTATCACAGACCAAGTGTTTACATCCTCCAATAGAATTCTGTTCCAGCTCTGCAGCTGGGAGAATTACATAACTCTCCAGAGTCATGTAAACCATGAGATGTGTCTAAAGGTGTTCCCAGTTCAAACGTGGGTGGTTTTCTTTTTTTCCGGGGTTGCAGCTCCCACGAAAGGTGAGAGCATTAAAACCAGAAGCAGGACAGTCAACCTGCGGCAACGCAGCTCCGCTAAGGTTTGGCTGTCAGAAATTAGCACTCGAAGAGGAGTAAACTGAGACTACGAAGTGTAGTCCTCTAGTGGTAAAGCGCAGGAGTGCAAGCAATTCTAAAAGCTTTAAAACCAAAGGTAGCATCGTTGTGTGTGGTTAAGTGTTTTATTAAAAAAAGATAACGTAATGCTAGAAACTGCTTGGAGAAATGGGTGTCTGCTTCAATGAGCTTTTTTGAAAAATTCATCTGCGCTCACATATGTACTTCAAAACAAGGAATTTACTGAATAAATTCTGAAACATTAGGGAAGATAATTTACTTTTTGCTTGGTATTCTGTACTATTCATATAAATGTACATTGAAGACCTCTATACAGCTTTGAAGACTGTCAAGCTAAAATTAATTTAAAAAGATAAATGGCTCACCACTTAAAATGACTGAGCTAATAATCTGCAGGAACAACACATTTAAATGCAACTTGAAATTAAATAGCTAAGCTGGAAACTCTGGAGTACTGAATAATTCTGTAATTACGAAGTATTTTATTCCTCTTGATCGCTGCTGAAGTTTGCACCACAAGCAGGAAAATGCTCAAAGAATGGGGAAAAAAAAATGAGCACATTTCAAAAGAAAAGCATAATTTGCAGCATAACCTGAGGCAATTCTTTTATTGAAGCTGTTTCTTCCTTACAAGCTTACCTAAAACACACCAAATAAACTGCTACCTAACTGCAAGATTCTGTTTATATACTTGTTTCTTTCAAAAGCTCTGTATGATCTTACAAATACTCTGGCTTAGAAACAGGTTAAAATACATCTTTGAGAAGGTCTGATCCCAGTTTTCATGGAAAATAACTTTTTACTCCTGTTTCAAATGTGTAACTTTGGCTGTAATAGGGTGATTCAACCCATTATGATGTGTGTTGCCTTTTGGATAATTGCAGCTACAGTCTTTTGAGTCTCTTCTTTCCAGCTACAGTTGATGTGTCTTTTTCACTGCCTGAGAAGTCTACATTAGAGTTGAACATGGATAAGTGAAAAAACATTTACCATTTCAAAATACAAGATTCTCCTCGTAAGCACACCTGGTCACACACACACACTGCCCTGTCACTGTCACTCAAAAAGATCATCAGCACATCTAGAGCATCCCATCCTCTCCAAATTTCAGCAATCCCATTCTCTCACCTGTAGTCTTCTGGCACTCTGCTCTTGACTTAGCTGTTTTTCAATGATCTGCTGGTACAGCTTAGCTCTCAGTGTCCGCAGAGCTATTTCCTTGTTCAGCTGCTGTGATCGCTCCTGCTGGCACTCAACTGCCAGTCCTTTACAGAGGGGATTCAAGAGAGATCACATCAAAAGCCCATTATAACAAAGAACAAACAAGCTAAATTAATTCTAACACACTGGGCAAATGAAACCTTCTAAACTGCTGGCTTGTAGGGACTTTCAGCTGTAGGATTAAAAGTCATTTTAACACACTGGCCAGAACCATTAGTATGTTCCTAAACTCTTCACAGCTGCACCAGGGGCTTTGTTCAGTACTACAGAAAAGTCAGGAACATTTTAAAAATTCATAAAGCAAACAAAACATTTCTAACATTGCCTGCAGAAAACCGGTTCGGTCCAATTCCACATATTGGAAGGTAATTAGCACAGCCTACAGAAGCATGTTTAAAACAGTGTAACACAAGTTTGCAAAGTCTTAGTCTAGATAAGCTCTTGGAGACGGGAAAATTCATTCTGGACAGACGGAAGCCCACTGAATTTCAACAAAAACAAATCCTGAGAAAGACAAGAGTGGTCCAGTTTATACACCACCTTCCCATCAGTATACACTTTCCTTCCTATTCAACATTTGATAGCATTATCTAGTACTGAATTAAAACCTTCAAGTCTCCTTTTTTCTCCGTCTTGTAGCTACCCAGGTTCCAGCTTGGCCATAGGCACCCTTGACTGCCAGTGGCCATTATTGCTGAAGCTGCTGAGCACAAAGCAAATTACTTCCATCCCATCCCTGTCAACCTGCATTTGTTCTTCCATCCTTCAAAGACAGTGTATTCATTTAACACTCCCTCTGAAGACAAAACTGGCATAACAGCAACATGCTGACCACTGTGCCACTGCTCCATACCCCTTTCCTCACACACTGCCTTGCTAGAGGATGGGCAGAACATGGGCTTCCTTTTTCTGATATAAGGAACAACCCTGCAAACTCACTCTAAGATCACAAGCTTATTTTCCAGAATACAGATTAGAAGTATGAAATACAGCCAGACTTACCTGTGGGCAGGTGTACCACTCTCACAGCACTATCAGTTTTGTTAACGTGTTGCCCTCCTGCTCCTTTGGCCCTGAATGTATCTATACGCAATTCTTTGGGATCCACTTTAATATCAACCTAGAATAAAAGAAAATCACTACTTTCTGCTCATTCTAAAAATATTTTTACAAGAAAAAAGTATTTTCAATGATAGTGGAAAAAAAACCCAAACCAAACAATGAAAAAAAACTAAAAAAATTGCTGCTTTGCAATTGTGTCTGAGTAGCAGCTATAATTACTATACTTGAAAAAAAAACTGCCATGTCTAATATTTCTGCAAAGCAAGTGATGCTTTAAATATTTCACTTATTTTTTCAAACTCTTATTCTGGGTCCTTCAAAACAAGGTATGTGTGTGTGTAAACAAAACAAAGTCACCAACGTTTTGTAAAAACACTGGCTTTGGCAGGGAGACTAAGGAATAAGCAAATACTAAAAAACTACTTCTAAACATCAGTGCAAGGATCTTGTTCATGAGTCAAGCCCGAATGATTCTTGCAACAGTGCCTTAAAAACATCTAACTGAGGAAAAACTGGGTGTATCCAGATCCCAGTAAGGATTGCAGCATTGGAAATATGAGTCCATGATGACCTGGACCACAGTTTGAGCTCAGTGGATGGGAAGAGAACATTCAGATCTGATCAATGTTGCAAGAAAAGCATGACAAGGAAGCAGAAGAATTTGTAGGAAAAGCCTACAGGATCTGGTTTTGTTTATAAACTGCTGGTTTAAGTGGGAACTGCCATGTCACTGAGATCTCAGAAAGACTAGCCAACACACTCACTCATTCAAATTCAAAGCAGACTGTCCTTGATTTAACAGAGGACAACATTAATTTAAATGAAACAAAAAAAATATCAAAAGGACCTGCAGAATCACATTAATATGCAACACTGAGTATTTCCTTGGATATATTCCCTGTCTTAATACATTAAGTAATTTAAAATGGGCTTACTCATAGCAGGCAGCTCTGTGAGTGTTGGGGCGAGAATACTCATTGAAACAACCACTGATTTACATGCCGTTTCAGGCAGCAGCAAATCTCTGCAAAGTTGCTTCTGATATCCCGTTTCAACATCTAACATACAGAGCCAAGGACTGCTGCCTTCCAGAGCCAGACAACTTGTGGTTCACTTACTGGGACACACCCAAAGCACTTGGGTATCAATAAAATCCCTAAACAGTAAGACCAATGTGATTTTAAATAACACCTACTCCAAAGCCAAAATGAGTGAGCAAGGATACACCACCTTACTACCCTGATTCACTGTTGGTTTACCTATTCACAGTTAGTTTACCTCCTCTGGCTGAGGGAGAACAATAACTGACATTGTTCCAGTGTGAATTCGCTGCATTCTTGATGACAGGCCGGTCTCAGGGATTCGCTGGACTCGATGAGTCCCTCCTTCATATTTCAGATGCCTGTAGACATCATCTCCTGAAATATGAGCAGCAGCATGATGCAACCCACCTAGACAGACAAGTAATATGTGACCAACATAGCACAGCCACACTGCTTTGAATGTCATTTTCCTGGTGGAATGTCTGAAGAAGTACTGTACCTATCTCAGCTGGCATATAGTTCACAATGTCAAAGGTCCAACGCTTATAGTCTGCATAGTTCTGGTACATCTCAAACATTTCTTTAGTGAACTGCTGGCAGATGTCTCCTAAAAATATAAAGGCACTACAACATAAACAGCAGTTCACAAAGTGGCAGCCACCAGTTTTTAGATTTATCTGCAACTCTAACCATGGCCATTAGACTGATTGATACTCTTCTTCTGAAAGTATTACTTTATATCATTAAAGTATAAAAAGGCATTAAGAATAACCCATAAGAGGTTTAATAAAGTTGGATAGAGGTTTAAAGTACTCTTTACTGTGGGGACTTTGCTGACCTCCAGTTGTTCTGCCAGCTGTCACTTCCAATATGACATGACTTCTATCATATTTTTCCTTTGGCACTAGAAGCTGGAAAAGCTGGGGGGGAAGAAAAAAAAAAGGTCATTATCTCCTTCATGACTCTTTATCTCTTCTTAATCAAATTTAAAGCCAGCCTTCACAACTGCCACAGCTTGAGTGCACCCAAACACTGTTTTCTTTTGGCAAACTAGTAAGTAGGACTAAAAACTGTACAATAACCACTGCAACTTAGTGCAGTTGGAGTGGAAATGGGACATGCTGGTGCATCCACAGTAAAGCTAGCAGAAAACTTGATCCCACAGAATCAGGCATCAGGTTACCCACTCCAACCCCACCTACCTATGAATACAAAGTTATTAGCTATAACTCAGCCTATCTTTATATTAATCTTATTTTTCAGAAAATCCCATTTCACATTATCAGTGTGAACACAGAAATGAGCCCAAACATAAAGCTCTCCACTGAATCTGTCCAGCCTCTCTGCTTATAATTAATTTCCTCACTCAGGGAGTGCTGTCAGCTGAAGGAAAAATGAAAGACTGCAAGTTCCAATCAGTAACCTTTCAAGAATGCATGCTCCACTGCCACAAACAGTTATTAGGATGTAATGTCAGGTCTCAATAGCACAGACTCAACATTTTTTTAATCCACTTCAGCATCTACAGACAGACAAGCAAGCAAGCAAAAAACAGCTAAAATAATAAGATTCTGAGACACAATTGTTGGTAAGAAGCTTACTAATAATTATTGTTGCCACTTCTTTTCAGGGAGAATAGAGAAGCTGAACTTCTGTTTCATTAAATGCAACTGTCAACATCTAATGGTAAAATCACAAAAGAACATTTTTCTGACAACTTTATTTACAAAGCCGTATAATTTTACCTCAGACTCACCTTTCTGCACAACTTATTGATTTTTTTATCCAGGGTCTCCCTCTCTTCTAAGGCAAGCTCTAGAAGTTGTTTCTCATCTCTGCTGTCTAGCTCTAAATTTCAACAACAGGAAGAGATGTTAGCCAATCACACTTACCTTAGAGCAAATTGTAATCCAGCTGACCATTCTGTCAGGATGAAATATCAAATAAGAGCAGCCCGAGTCAGGATGCACATTGCTAACCAAGTGATATTTTTCAGGTGTGCTGGAAGGAGTAGTGAATATCTTACCTCTCAATCTCTACCTTATAGCTCAAAGTCTGCATCAAGTAGATGCCAGTCCCACCTGACGGTTACCCACTCTCAGTTATACTGATAGTTCTGTCACACAGATTGACAGACCAGGGGTAAATCCATAAACTGATTTGACAAAATACATCAAAAACATGCCTGCAAACAAGAAGTGCCTCTGTTTCCCTCATTACCATTTCTCATGCAACAAAATGCTTTGTTTCTAGACTTGCCCAGAACACCCATATATTAAAAATTTTGTAGGCAACTCATTAAGGTGGCCACTATAAATAATGGTATAATGCTAGTAATGAGGTTTCTAACCTGTCTCCTGTAATTCAGAAGATCAGTGAAATGTGGGTAAACAGTAATCAGGATGTGGAAGACCTCATTTTGACTCTGCTTTGCTTAAGGAGATACCCTTCCACTTTCTTCAGCACGTGAAGAAAGACATAGAAATACTGCAGTTAATCTAGTTGAGAACTACCAAGATGGTCGTGTTGGAGCAACGAATGTATGAGAAGAGGCTGGGAAAACTGTGTTCAGCCTTAAGAAAAGCAAAGGCAGGGGAGGGAGAGGTTTTATTGTTGTGTACAACTATCTAACAGGAAGACATCAAAAAGATGGAGAAACACTCTGTATATCATGATAAAAGGACACGTAAACTGGAATAGAGCAAATTCTGATTAGATATTAGGAAAACTATTTTCAGCCGAGGGGTGCTCAGACACTGGAACTCAGAAAGGTTGCATCAAAGCCTTCTGGCTGATCCAAAAAGCATTATTATTGATAAGTTAAACAGTATGAAATTAACTACTGTCAGCAGACGTGAAAGAATGTTCTGGTAGTGACCAACAAGCTTGAAGCTCAAGGATTTGCATCCCATTCCTACCTCCCTGCAAACCTGACCTTTAAGAATCTACCTCGTGATGCACATTACCAGTGGCAAACCAGGAAATAATAATTTTCTGCTTCACTGAATGCTGCAAATACAAAATCCTACAGCATTTGTGAGGAATTCAGGTACTACAGTCAGGGAGCTAAGTGGAAAACAAAGAGCAATCAAATTAAGAAAATGTGTTTTAACTTGGCCACATGATAAACAGTACAGATAGAATAATTGGGATCTATTAATTAACTTCTTGGCTGTAATTTTCTTTTGTTCTTTTCTTTTCCCTTCTTTCAACTAGAATTCACTCATTTCAACACATATTTTACAGAATTAGAAAATGTCTTCATTATATTTACTTGGATACAAAAATAGCCTTTCCAAGCTCAAGTATGAATTTTACAGCATTTTCTTAATACTTTCTAATTCTTAAAAATATATATATATTTATTTTTCAGTGTTAAATTTTCATCTGTCTTCACCATCACTCCTTTTCCTCTTTCTCTGGTGAAGGGAACTTAAGAAGGTTGGGGATTAATACATTTTCTATAACCACCATTTCTTCCAAAAGCACAAGTATCTATTTATTTCTAAAACTAAATAATACAAATGTTTTCTACCTTTTTAAACAAGTTACATTTTTACCAGCTTTATTTAAATATGGCTTTTACTGTTTTGTCAACACTTCTTTGTTGTCTCTCTGAAAAGCACCACGATTCAAAGAATCAGACTGCTTAAGGCTGGAAAGGATCTTAAAGATTCCAAAAGCCCTGCCATGATCAGGGACACTTCACATTAGACTGCACAAAGGCTGCACAAAGCCCCATCCAACCTGCCTTTAAACACCTCCGGGGAGGCGGCATCCACAACCTCCCTGGGCAACCTATTTCAGTGCCTTACTACCCTCATGGCTGGTGTCTAACCTAGATCTCCCCTCTTTCAACTTAAAACCATTGCCCTTTGTCCTGTCACTGCCCTCTCTGGTGAAAGGCCCCTCCCCAGCTTTCCTGTAGGCCCCTTTAAGGTACTAGGAGTTTAATTATTTAATGTAAGCCCCATTCTCTCCAGGCCAACATTTCCCTCTCTTGGGAACATCTATCGGTGTTGCAGAATGAATGACTTTTTTTCTTTCCTCCTCACACTTCAAACTTTTTTTTTTCTCAAAATGCTGCAGTATTATTTATTTTGTAAATTCTTTTAATCCCTGTGTACTTATTCCTGAACAATATCAAAAACAATAATATTTTTTAAATTCTTTTTACCCCAATTTCTACTGTAGCAGGGTACTGAAAACCAGCAGCTTCTTAGACAGCAATCAACTTTTATTCCTTGAAGGACTACTCAAATATTTTCAAAGGAGTATTAGTTTTTAGCACTTAAATTGGAAGACAACAATTCAGGGTCTAATGAAAGTTAATGTAAGTTTCTCAATGAGTACCAACAAAGTGGCTAGATGGAACCCCATTTAAAACAAGTCTTTATCTACCAAGTTTACTACGCTCACTGAAATTCACAGTGCTCTATCAAATAACTTTAAAACAAACATTTCCAAACTATTTCTGCTAGATGGATAGACCTGAGATTCCAGATGATCCCTGCTCTCCCCAGTTGACTGTATTAAGACCTCAAACTAAGGTAAGATGAGAAATGGAAGGATGGAGCTGGATACAGAAAGCCCTAGCAGCACACAAGCTCCCAGGAGGAGGCAGGACCAGAGAGCGTTCCAGGGCTGGCTTAACTTACTCAAAAGCTTTCCTCAAAGGCTGAACAATTAAGTTTATCACAAGCAAAGCTACTGTTTTGAAACAAGTTAAGTAGATGCGGTCTCCTTACCTCTGCACATAGCTTCTAACTCTTGAACTTCCCTTTCAGCCTCTTTGATTTCTTGAAATGCAGCTGCAATAGGGGACAGATCGGCACATCTTCTCCTTAGGGTTCTTTGCTCAAAGTCATTTAGTGAGTCAGCACTTAACAGATGACTAACCTGCTGGTATTCCTTGCTTAGAGTCTCCAGATGCTTCTGCACAGCCTCATGCTTCCACAACGCTCGAGAAGCCTGATGGTTTTTCCTATGCCAACTGTTAAAAAACAAAGTGAATCTAGCCGTGTCCAATAAAGAGTTTGGCCTCCAATATCCAGAGTTGTGCAGGCCCACCACATAACCTATCTTCTTCACGACAGGAGCAAGAAGATGGCTGTGAAGTTGACCGTGATAGCAATTGAAATGCAGGCTCTTAAACAGACAGATACTTTGGAAAGCTTTCATTTTGTTTCTTATTTTTCCATCACCTGAAATGAAAAGTAGACAGTACACGTACCACTGTTATTATGTAGAAAAGAGAGAGCATTCTGTTAAAAACAAAACAAACACAAGAACTGTACCAGGCCCAAATCCTGTTCTTGATTACATCAACACAAATGCAACTGTCATGGAAAAACTATTCTTCTTTTAGTCCTGGTTTAGACCAGAAACACGTATCAGCGCAGTTGGAAAATGTCTCTTCCCTCACTTCCTCACACAATTTATTTATGCTGTGGAAAAGCTACTGCAGATGCTGCTTTACAGAAAACAGATTCATTTCGCCATACATCTCATTGGAAAAACCCAACCCCTTCATACTTTTACTGGCAAAAGAAAAATGTTGCTTAGAGAAGACCAACCTATACTAGAGGTGCAGAATTATATACAGAGAAAATATGAAATGTGCAGAATTGATGTGCAAAATTATATCCACTACTACAAGACCTAACGTTGGCAGAAGGACATCAGTAACACTGTGCTAACCTTGCAACAGTCAGACTACAACACACTTGCAAGAAATTACTCACCCATACATGTGCTGTGTAAGACACAGGTGCAGTGCTATATGTTTCTTGTATACTCCTTCCGTGATATATTTACATATAAGTGCTATAAACATTTTCTATCCAAAAAGGGAGTAAGAAGCTCGCACTCTGAAATACAACTTCTGTATTTTTCTGAGACACTTGGCCTACAGTTTTGCAGGATACAAGTTCCCCTTTTACCATCACACTGCCTCTAGGAAAGATCTTTTCCTCTTTATTTTATATCATCAACATTACAAACTATGCTATGAATTTTTAACGTGCTCTAAAAATTTCTATTGATGTGCAAGAGCCTACCAAGAGGACTGAATTACAGTCATTCATATTTTAGTATTTCTTACACAGAAAAGGCTTAAGAAATAAATAAGCACTCTTAAATATCTCTGCTAGTGCCACAATCCTATCTGTCTACTGATAAAAAAAAAAAAAAAGAGAGAATGACATTTTTATAACAGGATCTCCTTGAAACATACACTTCTCTTTTCTGAAACAATTCTTTTTTTTTTCATGAGTGACAAGAATTTCTGTGCATTTTCAGGCATTTAATTAACAAACTACTACAACATTTTAACTACTCAATTCACCCATTATCCTCAGCTATTCACTTTCACCCATCTATCCACAACGAAGAAAGAGCAATATGCAGTAAAACCATAAGCACTGCATCTTGCTTGCCTGGATGTCTATTTTAATAGGTACAGAAGGAGGGAAGGGCCTTTCTTGTACTTCTCTGCACCTTCCCCAGACTCCACAGCCAACAGTCACTATCAAACCCAGACTGGAAGCTTCAGAAGTGCTTTAAGTTACAGAAAGCCAACAAGGCCCCTCATGGATTGCTTTGGTGACTAAAACTGGCTGTAGCAGAAGGATCATGTTCCACTCTCCAGGAACACAGAAAAGGGCACCAACCCAGCTCATCACCTACAGCTCTGGACTCACATGATCACAGGCACATGCAGACTCTGTTCCAAAAGGCCTAATTCTGCTGATGGTACAGGAGTTGCTCCAGATCAGCATAGGCCCATTGTTGTTGCTTGGTTAAGTGCTAACCATCTTTAACTGACTTTTAAAACATTAATAATTTATTTCAACTAATTCATTAATTAAATGTATTAATTGTAACAATCCAACTCATTTTTACCAGTGTTGCTAAGAAGCAATGCACTCAAATAATATTTAATAGATTGTACTACTGTTCTGCCCGAGCACTCAGAAATAAAATTCTTGGCTTTAAATGCCTAAAAAAACCTAAGCAGTGGCATGACACAAACCGTAAAGGAAGTCGGCAATTTCAAAATATCTTTGCTATGTTAAATAAAAAAAGGTACCTCCTTTTCAGTGAGGTATTGCTGTGTTACAGTGGTGCAGAAGTAAGCACGCATGGAACTTGGACAGAGCTGTGAGCAGCAGGGGACCTGCTAACTGCTTTCCAAACCAGATCTTAGTAACTTTTTAATGTGACAAAATTACCCCGTGTAACATCACAAAACAAAACCAGTAAGCAAAAGTGACAACTGTAATCGCCTAATTACAACATGACTTACTTCTCTTAAGTCGGGGAACAGAAAGAAACCCAGACAAGAAAGCGCTACCAGAGCTGTGACCACTTCTAAGGCGTTTTAAAAATCGCTTCTAACAATCAAAGGTGCTATTAACTCCCCGCGAACCAGCCGGG